GTAAATGGATCTAGTCCCTACTTTGCTAATTTAACACATAACAGAGAAAGCCCACTGTTATGCCTCTTTATTGGCTCTTTGTTATGATTCTTACGATTTTTTTTAATGGGTTTCTTCAAAATAGTTCAACAGAGATGGAAACTTTGTAATTTCCAAAATTCTAATTTACATACGATTATATGAAATAACACACTAAAATTGGAAACACCATCCGAAACTATCATGCTTGTTATAGTAAGAAATTTATAGCAATCAATACACCCAACATACAAAGTTAGGATAGTTTGAGTTAGTTATAGTGAGTTAGTAAAAAAATAAATAGGAGGACAGACAGGGAGTGAATTCATTCAGATCTATTCATTTTTAGGTTGAGCATTAGCTCTTTGTGAAAGGAGAAATCTTATGTGAAGAGGAAACCCTTGGAGGAGAGTTATCTCTCCTATTCTCTATTCTTAATCAAGAAATACAATCATTTTTTTTCTTTTTTCCATTTTCTATTCTGGGTTCCTTACAAAATGTTTTGACCCGCCAGATTGGTGGGGAGAAGAAACTGTCGGACAGATACAAACTTTGCGGAGAAGAAACAGGGGTTTCCAGCGTTCTAGAAAGAGAGAACCAATGAACAATCTGGGCTTAAGCAAACATTGCAGCAATTGATGAAGAAACAAGAAATTAAACCAGAAATGGATGGATCATTGAAGGTGTTTGTGAGGAGGCAGCCAATTCATGTGGATTGGAGCACCATTCTTGCAAGACCAACATATTAAAGTTGAAGCATAAACTGTGCAAGATACTGAAGAGTCAGAAATCTTTCTTGAGGAGAAATGCATGAAAGGTGAGAAAATAGTGAAGACACATCCCTCATAAATCAAAAAGGTTGAGGAAATAAAAGAGATCAAGCAGAGGTTGGAAAGATGGATGCAGTAACAAGACAGGATGTCAAGAAGACCATGGAAGGATGCGTGTCAGAATGCTTGATAATAAAGAGGTTCATTCTTGGACAAAAAAGGTGGAGTTAACCGCCTTTTTAGTGGTTGCACAGAGGGAGAAACAAAAGGGGGAACACCCTGTCCGTGCTAGAGCAAGAACTAGAAACAGAACAATAAGAAGTGTTGAACGAGATCAAGACAGGGAGATCATTGGAATCATTTAACCCAGAGAAGCAGCTTGTTTTCTTGGAGGAAGAGTCACTAAGCCCATCACCAATGGAGGATGATAGATCAGATTGTTATATTAGTGGAATGGAACTGCAACAGATTAGGCCCATAAAGATTAGGTTTATGTTGGCATACAGTAGCTGCCAATAAATAGGAATAGAAGTTGAGAAGAATCAATCATTTTGGTGAAATAGAATTGAGACTAAGGAGAGGCTTAGTCTTTCTTCCATTTCTAATCCAGTTTCTATCAACTAGTATGAGCTAGTTGATAGATACTAGATCAGAAATATAAATATTTGAAGAAAGACTGAATATTTATTGGAAAAAATAAATAAAAAATCCCAGTCTTGCCCAATGTGGTACAATACTGAGAGTTGGGAAGCTTTACAAGAATATGGACCTCCTTTTGTCATCAGCTTCTGCCCTCTGCTCCTTTGGCTTAAGGCTGGAACTCTTGAAGCAAAACCTTCACAAATTGCCACCATGATGCACTTGGATGGTCCTCTTTCCACACATACCGCCAAACCAAAGCACATCCTAGCCTTCCCAACCCAACCCTTTGTATCTCTTCTTTCCCTTCAAATTATGGAATCATCTTTCAAGAATTCATACCCACAGCTCTAAGATCAGAGTTGATAAAAGTTGATAGAAACTGGATTACAAATGGAAGAAAACCATAATTTCTTTATTGATGATGTGTATCTCTACAAGGAATATCCTGGACACTCGAGAGATCCAGGCCTCTCCCCACCCAGTCTCAAGTCTATTTTACCAAAATGATTGATTCTTCATCTCAACTCCTCTTCCTATTTATAGGCAGCTACTGTATGTCAACATAAATCTGCCATTAATGGGTTGAGTCTGTTGCAGGCCCATTCCACTAATTAATTGCTAATATAACTAACTGCCCTATCAGAGGAACTCAAAATCCTCAGAGGTAGACATCGTTGTCAAGGGCATGGAGATGCAGCGCTGGTTGTTGAAGAGCCCCTAATCAAAGACCACATGAAGTCTAAAGTTGAATGCCTCCCATGGGCTAAAATTGGATCTTTGTTTCGAATGCAGTGGGCCTCATACAACACTCAATTGGATCACCTTCAACCAAGGTTAAAAACCACATTGATCACAATCAAGAACACATTTGGCCCAGCACAGGATGAAAACATAGAAAAGCCAATAGGTGGTGGTAGTTTGATTCAGTTGACTACAAAGGCCGATGAAAGTCTTTTGTCAAAAAATGCAAATTGGGATGAAGATTTTGAAGAAAGTCGAAATCTATCTCTTATCAATTGGCTGCTTTCAACCTTAAGGACAAGGTTAATTTTAGGAAGGGTGGTATTGATAGGACTTTCGGGAAGGGGGAGTTACAGAGTTAGCTAGGATAGTTAGAATATTAGATGTAGTGAGTTAGTGACATAAATAATTAGGAGGATTGAAAGGGAGGGAATTCATTCATATCTGTTCATTTGTAGATTGAGCATTAGATCTTTGTGAAAGGAGAAATCCTTTGTGAAGGAGAAACCGTTTTTGGAGAGTTATGTCCGCTATTCTCAGATCATTTGCAATCAAGAAATACAATCTTTCTTTACTTCTAATTTCTAATCTGGGATCCTAACACTTGCACAACAATTTAAGAGGGGAAGCAGAGATGGAAATGAAGCCTCATGCCAGAAGGTTGTTGCAAGATTCGGATGCAGACCCTGAATTGCTTCAAGCTGGAATGTTGTTTTGTTAATAAAGGAAGCTCAGAGAGGTTCATGGTTCTGGAAGGTGAAGCAAAGCAGCAAAAAATTGCAGAAGAAGAAATCACCAAACACACTGACAGAGGCATAATCAAGGAACAAAGCAAAATTTAGGTCAAACAGAGGAATTGCAATTGAGCAAATCAAAGTGGAAAGGGGAGTAGGATTTGTCAATAATCAGATGTGAGGTGAATGGTTTCTCACTACTGTTGATCTTGGAAGAATAGGATTTAGCAAAATGAACCGTCCAAACCATTCAAATAGAGAAGTAAACCAAATTATATTTTAGGAAACAACCAATTTCAATATATTTAACCATTGATTTTAGTTTTTCTGCACACCCCTTACTTCCATTGCCTAATTTGCATATAATTCCACTTTTATATGAAAAAACTTTTTTTCTTGGGATGAGTATCAAAACCATCTTACAATAACATGTGGAGGTAATAGTGTCCTGACTACCAATTATCATTGAACTAGTCTTCCCTAAAACATCTGTCTGTCTTAGCCATCAATTGCAAGTCTCTAATTTTTGTATGCAAGACTTCTTCCAAAAAGAAAGAAGCCTATCAAGAGCCTAGTCACAACTTTGGCAGTTTAACAATGCAAATCAAGCCAAAGTGTTATCAGATTAAAATTATACGGCATTCATTATTTCACTAAACAAATCATCTGGAAAATTTAGAAATGTGACTCCCCAAAACTACCTATATGCATGCTTTCATGATATTCAGTAAACCACCACAAAATCGACTATAAAGCATGCCCTCAGTTCATTAATAATCTTATATACATGTATCTAGAATCGAAGTCATTTAGACAGCAACTATCACACATTGATCTCTTCACCAAAATATTCCTCTTCAAGGAAATTTCAAATCCATTCATCAACACTAACACCCACAACCACAAAACCTCCTGCGTCTCATTTTCCCCAAAACTTTCAATACAATTATCAGAATGATGGCTAACCATCACTAAAGGCCTAAAATCTTTAATCAATGCAATATATTCTTACCATGAAGACGTAGTAGCCCAACAATCCAGATGTAGTCCAACACCGAGTAGACATTGTGAAGAGGGATTAATTCTGCAAGTGATATGCAATAGTTAGGTAATAGCATAGAGGAAAATAGTCATTAAATTATAATTTTCATTTACTGTTCCTCAAGAAATCCAATCCACCAGAAACAAAAGGCAATACCCGTAAGAGTCATATGTGATCCTCTTCTAAAACAATTTCATCCTGCTATGACCACAGAAATGCTTATTCACTGTATAGCCCTGTCTTCAAAATCATTTAAAGGAAGGAACCAAAATTCTGAACAAACCTCCAAGTCACAACAGTTGCCGATTACACTGAATGTTTGAAACCATCAGCGGTAGATGTTTCATCAACCCCCATAGTAACAAAACTCTTCAACCATCTCTGCTATATACTGAAACACAGAAAGAAGCACAACCAACTAATGTTACACAACCTAACAACTAATAGAAATATGAACAGAAACATCAATCATTTGCACATTCCTTTCAGACTCATCTTTGTATGCTTGATACTAAATTTTCCTTTTCCTTTTTGCATAAAAGACAGTTCACCACATACTATCTATAACTTCCCACACCCAAGTCTAAGCAGTCATACCAAAGCAATAGGATAAGGGTAGTTTTTATTATTGTCAACCATCTTTACATTATTCCTCATCACTGCAGTCATTCCACTTGATGGTTACTGCAAACACATGAAAGTCAATAGTACCCAATCCCCTTGCCACATATTTCTTAAGATAAATCTATGTCCAAAATTATACAAACTTCATACTGGTTATTACACTAAGCTACAGCAATATGCAGTCACTTTTATAAAGAAAACACAATAATTCCATTGTTCAGTCAACACAAATGACAACAAACGCCACTCATAACATCCATTCAAGCATCCAGGATGCATTGAAATTTATAAAAATTATAGGACTGAAGTAATGAAGTAAAGTCAAGAATTTGAGATGCATACAAATACATTCAATTAAACTACTAATCAATTTTATCGAAATGGCCAATAAAGCACTTGCAGTTGTATCAAGTCATGATTATCAGGATCTGAAAAACACCTCAGCACTCAAGGCAAAGCTTCATACACAAAGCATATACTACAAATCCATTTGATGTGACAAAAGGCGCTTATACTACATCCATGGATTGAAGATACTATAACGCTGAGAAACCTCAAACTCTAAGATACATTTATGATTAACTCATTTAGCTTTAAAGCACGAGCTATAAGCTTTTTTTTTTTATCTACTCCCTAGATCGAACCAGAAAAAAAAAAATCAAACTAAAATAAACAACAAAGATTTCATAAAATCCGATTTCATATGTTATAAGAACATCTGTAACCCCAACTACACCAAAAGGACAATGAACTTCACAACACTAACCCTAAAACAACACTAGCGACCACTCTCTCACTTCCTACCCCCTCTCTTAGTCGATGCCTTTTTCGCCGGAGACTTTACACTCTTGGGTTTCACACTCTTCACTGGAGCTTTCTTCGCCGCTGCTACCTTCTTTGGTGCGGGCTTGGCAGCTGGGGCTTTCTTCCCCGGTGAAGTCCTCGTCGACGTCCTTGCAGCCTTAACGGGCTTGGCCTTGGGCTTGGCAGCAGGTTTGGCGGCGGCTTTGGGCTTGGCAGCGGCAGGCTTGGGTTTGGCAGCAGGCTTGGCGGTGGTCTTGGGCTTAGCAGCGGCAGGCTTGGGCTTTGCAGCTGGCTTGGCCTTGGCAGCGGGCTTTGGCTTGGCAGGAGCCTTGGCTTTGGGCTTGGCAGCTGGCTTGGCCTTGGCTGGGGCTTTGGCTTTAGCTGTCTTAGCGGCAGGCTTGGGCTTAGCAGCGGGCTTGGGCTTGGGCTTTGGCTTTGGCTTTGGCTTGGCAGCTGCAGGCTTCTTCTTCTTCGCAGGAGAAGAAGCAGAAGGCTTGGCCGGCGGAAGCTTGAAGGAGCCTTTGACTTTGACGAGTTTCCCAGCAGCAACTTGCTTCTTCAAGTGGAAGAGAAGAAGCTTCTTGAAGTTCGGTGGAAGCTGTTTGTGCTTCTCCTCAATGAACTTGGCAATCGCGTATTGGCTGGAACCGGTTTTCTCCTTCAGTGAGGTGATTGCATCTTTGATCATCTGTTAAACAAGCAAAAACAAAATTGAAATCAGATCTAATTCGATAAGCACAATTGGAAAGAGAATTAGGTGGAAAAAGGTGTTTCAGATCGAACCTCTTCGTAGGAAGGATGAGTGGGAGGATTGCGGGGTCTGGAAACCTTCTTAGGTTTGGGTTCCTTGGTTTTCTTAGCCTTGGCTTCAGGTTTGGGCTCCTCCTTCTCCTCCAGAGGAGGCTCGGTGGTGGCAGGCTCGGGTGCGGGTTCAACAGCGACAGTGGGCTCTTCTGTGGCCATGGGAACGGCTAGGGTTAGGGCTTGAAGTGAGGAAAGGGATTGGGATCTGTGTGTTAGGGACGTTGAAACTGGAGATTGAATTGGTAATTGGAAATTGGGTGTGAGAGAAGATGAGAGAATTTTGATGGTTTAAATAGTCAAGTGTGTGAGAGACTATATCCAAATACTTAATTCTGATTGGTCCACGGGACTCTCACACGGATTGATGCCTTGTTTCAGTTTGAATGTAAGCCATTGGATCGGGGGTTTATCAACGGTGCTTTGCGGGGAGGCTCGTTGGAATGTTTTGGGTGCTATGGGTTGCTTTTGGTGTGTGTTTTCAAGCTCGATTCATTTGTCAATTACTCTGGCTTTAGTGGGTCAATGAGGGCGAGGTTTTTTGTGTCTTGTAGATTATTATTTGAGTTTTCTAATGAGTGCTCAAGCGTGTTGAATGGATCAGTGGTTTGGGAGATATTTCGTTTTGAAGGCACAATGGTCATGACTAGGGTTTCTTGTGATGTTATCAAGGTTTTTCCCTAATTGAGGTGAATGCTTTGCCTTGGGGTATGATCAATTCACACATTGTGAAAATAGGTTAACAGAGGATTCCTTTGCATCAAGAATCATGAAAATCCATTCAGATTTGAATATCAAATGATTGGTTACAAAGTCATTGAAGTTGAACAAGTATAACCAATGAACATATATGGTAACCTATTTTGTATAGAATATGGTTCTTTTTCTTATAATATTTTGAATTGTCATTTATTTGCTCAAATTCAATATTGTAACAGTGTAATGGTGTTTAATGATAGCATAATTTCATATCTAAAAATTGGTTGTCACAATAAAGTTTTTGTTTTCTTAGTAGTAATGTTTTAAAATGTAAGTTAATACTTTGTTGTGCAAGACTGTGCATATTAGATGCTATATCTCATTGTTGTCAAACACCATTTTGCTTATTTGATACAATTCATAATTGTATTATAAAAAATATCAAATATGTTGAATAAATATTGTTAAATTGTTTAATCTACATGAAAAAGACATAAATGTGTGCAACTAAGCTTATGTTCTTGTTGATGTGAAGGTTAGCAACATAATCTATCTATGAATTTGTGTATAAATTCTTTGAAATTGGGTTTATATTATGTTTTTATTGTTTGTAAAAAAAAAATCAATTATAAAATTACATGTTATGCTATCTTATACAAAAAAATATATATTATGTGCAATATATATAACATTAGTCTAAACAAAATCACTATACTATATATGCACGTATAAATAATACCTCAATAGTTTACTTCTAGGATGTATGAGTATTATATATATTTATGTTGTCTTTGCCAACATGACTCACTATGACTATTTCTATCTGAGAAATAAGATATGAATTTTCTACTGTATTTATTATTCTTCATTCTTATCATAAGGTACAATTTAGAAAGAAGTGATTTTTTTTCACAAGACATTTTACGATATCTATAAAACTGATTTTATTATTCATTTTTTGTATATTAAAGATTATGAGCATATGTACTTCTTGTTGAATGATGAAAAGAGAATTTGAGAAATAAATGTTTTCTCTTGAACCTATTAATCTCTCCAATTGTCATTTATCAATTTTATTGGTATTACTGTATAAGTTTTGGTACGAAATCATATATTCACCTCTCATGATAATTTAATGACAAACAAGAAGGATAAAATTGATATATCATGATTTTGTTTTATAAAATCAACTACAAAAACTATTTATATTGGTATGTGTGATTTTGCTAAAAATGTCTTATTATTCAACTTTTATTTTCTATGAAAATTTGTGATGGAATTAACATATGCTATCAAAGCGACTTAAGGACCTTTCATGGGATTAAAGATTGCCTTAATTAATAAATTGTAAAGGCTATTTGTAAGACTACTATTTGTCTTCATCTTTAGTTAAAACTTTAATCCATTAAATCATCTAAAGTCTTAAACACTCCTAATAACAAATGACATCACAAGTTGAGTGTTTCATTATTATCTAAACATGCATTTTATGAACACAAAAATGCATCTTTTACTCAATATTTTTAGATGATTCATTGAGAACATACATTGTTATTGAGAAAAATAAAGTTAAGGATATGAAGCGAGGTTTACGGACCATCCATTTAGCCTATAATTTGCATGGGTTGTAGTCCTAAAAAGTTTAGTCCATTTAGGATGCAATTTTTTTTGTTCTAAATAGTTTAGCCTATGGTTTTAAATAAATTTAACTATAGGCATGTGGGTAGACTCATGGGTATGTAGTTTGACCCGTGGACTTTTACATCTATTTTTTTAATATGCTCTTTAATATTGAAATCCTGAAAATGTGTTCTTTACTTGAATGCATTTTTAAACAAGTATTGTATAAATTTTCCCTACTTAGCATTTAATAATATTAATTTATCGTCATACAAGTCTTTGTGAAATGAATTCTTAAACTTTTATATATTTTACTACTTGCAACAACTGGTACATTTGTCAACAGTCTAACAAGTTAATGGTGGTGCGGTTGGAGGCTTGTGTCATATAATTAATTAATTTTAATTTGGTGCTATTTTAGGTTTAATATTTTTGCATTCAATTTCTATAAATTTTAATCCTTGTTTTTTTTCCTTTTATTAGATTTCACTTGTGCTTTAGTTCTATTATATAAGTCAAGCTAGTAACATTAAAAAAGTGTTTGGTGGGAGGCAATCTAGTTTCTTAGACTTTTACTTAATTTTTTATATTTCTAAAACTTGAAAGGACATAGGGGATCTCTAGAAACCCTCGCTTAAGAAGGGCATATTGTTCGCTTAAGTTAAAAATAAAAATAGGAAATTACTTTTCTTCCACAGTTGAGATTTATGTAGCTCATGTGGCATGACTAATTGGCTATGTGGACCAATAGGCTATTGGTCAAGGAAAAGGTGGAGCTGCAAATGAGGAAAGCTCTAATCACAAGGATTGTCGTATGTGAGAGGCAAAGTTTTTAATTATTTTTCTTTATTTTATTTTAGTATTTTTTCATCATTAATTTTTGCAATTTTTATACTTTTTTATGTTTTATTCTACTAAATTGTATTTGGGGATCTCACATTGAACAATATTCTTATTTGTAATTAGTAATTGACTCATTATCTTATAGAAATAAAGTATTTTGTGACAAATATTTGAAATGAAGCCACTGCTTGATATTTGTTTTTCTTTGGGACTGATAATTGTCGTATGAAGTGTTGTCATATTTTAAAAGCCTAATCAAGTAAGTTAAGGGATCCACAAATACTATATTGATTGTCTGCATTTTTTTATTCAATTGATTTTGCTTCAATCTAGCATTTATGTCATTTTATTTGTGTAATAGGATATGATCAAGATATCTATGAAACATTTTAAGCCACAATTCAAATAGTCAATCTATACTATTTTTTAACACTAATAACTCTTTGAGCTAAACACACAAAAAAAAAATTTGTTTCATTCGAACATTAAGCCAAAAAGAAAAAATAATTGTTAACTTGCACCTTCAAAATTGGGAGAACAGTTAGTCATGATAAAGAAAAAGATTCTAAGTTTGGTGTTGGTGTGCATTATACCTAATACAAATGAAAATTATAAGTTTGGTGTCCCACAAATGTCATAAGAAGGCTAGGTAACCTAGACAATCATCAAATAACAAGCGTTCATCTATTGTAATAAATTTAAAAAAAATGAGAAAAATCTCATAAATAAAAATATGTATAAAAAAAAGGCAATACAAGAAATGTGCTTAATAATAATAATAATAAAGCCTTGAAAATCTAGATTAAAATGTTGAAGAAAAAAAAAGTTAAAGGCCATACCTAGTTGTTTTATTAGTCTTAGATATTTTTTATTCCTAAAAAATAATAAATTCTTTAGTGGTTGGCCACATTATAAGCCCAAAAGCCCTTAGTGATCCTTACACACTTACTGGTCACATGTAACTGTTCTAAAATGGAAAGATGAAAAGCAAAGGTAAATTGAATAGGGTTTCATGCGTGAATTTGATACAAACATTTATCCATATAACTACACTTGAATTACAAATGGTGAAGAGAGCAATTGTATTGGAATTTCATAATTGTGATTGTCATGATAGTTAATCTCCTTAAACTTTCTCCAAGCATTTTGAGGTGAATCTGATTTAGATACCATAGTTGATTATGTGATTACTTGAGTAGTTGAGAAGAAAAAAAAACCTTTAACTAATAAAATTTGTTTAACTTAAGTCACCCAAATTTGTTTGATTTTCTATAATAGGGACTATACTTGATTTTTGTTTAATTGAGGATAAGTAAGATTCTAAGTTTGGTATATTTTGATAATTGGCAATTATATGTGCATCTTTTAATTAATTTTGACAAATATCAAGTATATTCTATGCTTTTGAGTCTTGTTCTTGTCGAAAATAAATATTAAATATTAGTTTTAATTATCTTAATAGAGTTCTTTAAATTTTAGGTATTTTGATGTTTTTTAGTTAATATTGTCAAATAAGTCAATATCTTTTACTTAATTTAGGCAATTATTGATCATGTCTTATACTTTAGAGACTTGTTTTTGTCAAGAATAAATATCAAAAATTAGTTATAGTTATTCGTTAAATTTTAGGTACTTTTGATATTTTTATAAGTGCCTTAGATAAAAAAAAAGTAAGGAAAAAAATGAGGCTAGTTAAAGATCCAATGCAAAGGAATTGAACCTAACAATTCTCTCTTAAGTGAATCACATGGTCAATTAAGCAAGCAAGCATAGAAACATCCACAAAGCATCATGAAGCACTTGTTAAAGCGAGCCAACTGGTCATTCTCAGCGAGCGAACATCACAAGCTCACTTGAAGAAAACTCATTTAAAATCTTATAAAAATAAGATTTAGAGAAAATAGAAGGGCACCTCGCATATTATACATTTTAGATAGTTTGAGAGAATAAAGAAAGTCGGGAGATTGACGTAGCTAACTTTACTCCATTTAATTATTCTTGTTTTTATTTACTAGGAATAAGATAAGTCTTTATTAGTCAATGTTTTAGACCTTCAATCTTGATGTGGATTGATTAATGGACTTCACCAAGAAATATGGATTTTTCTTAAGAAACCTATAA